GGTCTAGGCGCTCCGATTAATTGAACCGGCGCCTAGGTGAATTCGTCGGCCGTCTAGGGCGCCTAGTCGCCCGCCCAGAGCGCTTAATGGGCCACCTAGGCATCTAGATTCATCGAACATTTTTTTTGCTTTTTTATTTTAGTATCCTAAGAAATATGTACATTTAACTTTGACAATGCATGTGAAGAAAGCTACTAGTGAGTAGATATAATATATTATTAAATGTGACAACTCTATCATTCATGCATGTTAATGTGTATGTGCGTGTATATATTTTTTATACACACACAAACACAACATTACTAATCATATTTATGCAAAAATATTGATAAAACTACAATTTCAATGTCTCCGATTAGTCCCCGCCTAGGCGCCCGCCTAGCCGACTAGGCGCTAGGCGTTGGGCTGGCGCCCGACTAGCGCCTAGCGCCTTTTAGAACATTGGTCCGGTCCGGTTTTCAGTTTTTCTTTTCTTGCAAATCCGGTTCCGGTCCGGTTCGGTCCGATCCGGTCCGGTTTTGAACCGATGCACACCCCTACTATGTATGCTTTTGTAGTTTTGTACTCTCAAACTTTGTACTAAACGTAACCATTCCCAATTTTTGGCTATTTTAAGACTAAAATTTAACACATTTAGAAATTGCTGTTGACGGAGTATTGTACTCCCTCCGTCCCTGAAAGAATGTCCTACTTTCTCAAAACGGAAGTCCCAAAAAATGTCCTACTTCTATTTTAGGAAGGAAACATTTGTGTAATGCCATTAATACCCCCTGTCCATTTAATGGATTAAATGTTTCGCCTTTCTACCCATTTTCGTCAGTTGACTTTGTCACGCTATTATTACCTTCTATACTCTTCTCCTTCTCACTCTACCTCATATCCGCCGCTGCTAGCCCCTACTTCTTCTCCTCCGCTGCTACCCCTTCTCCTCCTCCTCCACCGTTATCCCTACCTACCTCATATTTCCATCGCAATCATCTCATCTCCGAGCCAACCAAATCCAAGGGCGTTTCGTTGAGATCCAGTTGGTAGTGAAGCCACAGACTATTCTTGACTTGTGTCCATTTAATGGTTGTATTGAATGCTAAGTTTTTGTAGTGAACGTGGCGCATTTAGAGGTATGGCCATTGGTAGATTAGAAAAAGTAAAAACATTTGAAGTGAAAATTTGGAGGGACTTCCGAATTTTTGGCATCCAAATTGTATTAGTATGCACTGTAGAATCATCTTGTCAAATTAGAAATTGTACATTAATGCTTAATGTCCACTCCTTTTGTTCTATTAATTCGCCCCCTTCCCTTTATTTATTTTTTTACCGTGTGGTATTAAGGGTAATACCCTCACTTTTGTCAGAGAATTTTTGGAAAGTCAAACTCAATTTTTTTTCTTTCTCTTAATTAGAGCAAAGTCAAAGTAGGACAATGTTATGGGGACAGAGGAAGTACAAGAAGATACATTAAAATAGAAAATGGGAAAAAATAGTGACTATATCAAAACATTAAAAGCCCGTTTAGTAATCATGTTTTGAACGTATTGTTTTTATCAGCTGTCTTTTTTACCAAACCAGTAACTATTGTAACTAATAAAATATATTTTAAAGAGACTCTACAACTATATACGCAAATGTTTACACTTTGCACGTAATTGTTAATTAGATTTTTCTTATGGCGCAAAATATTACACATTTTTTAAAAGATTTTGGTCAAATTACGATTAAAAAAAAAGATTTTGGTCAAATTGATACAAACCATCCATACGCTTACACATTTACTAAAAGTAACCCCTGAAAAACTTTGTAATAATATTCTTAACTTCGTAACTGTTTTATAAAAATGAACTAGAAGCTAACAATATTAATTTTTTCATATATTTATTTTCACATGTTTAATGAAGTGAAAACTATAAAAGTTTTAACAAAATTATTTTTGATCTTAAACTTATTTCCACTATATATCAAGTTCACTTTTCCTCTTGTTCCTTATCGATTTTTTAGTCATATTCAATCCGGCCTGTTGTTTCAATATCATAGAATTTTCAATCTAATTTTAAAAAGGAAAAATTGATAGTAATAATCCCAACTATTGGTGGTCCGCTTATAATAATCCCAACTATCGATTATTTCAGAATAATACCAACTTTAGGGACCTTCCGCCAATAATGGTCCCTATAAATAAATTCTTGTAGTTTCTGAAGTGGATGAGGAGAGATATAACAAGTAATCCCTATAAATAATCTCAACTTTTAATTTTTACACTAAATTTCTATTTAAAATTCATTTTTTTAGGAGGTAATATCTGGTCATGGACCATTATTGGCAGACGGTCCATATAGTTGGGATTATACAAAAATAATCAATAGTTGGGATTATTATCAGCGGACCGGCAATAGTTGGGATTATTATTTTCAATTTTTCCTTTTAAAAATAGCAATTATTTCATGATTATTTATAACCTAGTCAAATATTATAATTTGATATTTCTTTCAATTTGGAACAGATGCGATATTTAATTTTTTACAAAGCTTATTTTATGTTTATGTAAGACAATTTCTCACCCTTTATATTCTCAAAAGAAATTAAAACTTATACACCAATGATCTCAATTTGTAAAAATCATACGTATTATCTTAGCTAGGGCTGCACAAGAATAATCCGAACCAGCATAACCCGCTCGACCCAACCCTACCCGACACTATTTAATCAGGTATTTTATTAAAAAAAAAAATCATGGGTTTAAAAATGTACGAACCCGTTCGTGTATGGTTTACTAACTTATATTGCATATCGCGGGGTTGGTTAATAGACAACCCAAACAAATTGGGTAGGCCCAAAAAATATGGCAAACCCGACCCAACTCGCCTGATGTGCTGCCCTAATCTCATTTATAAAATGAACTAACATAATGGCAAGTTTTTTTTGCAAAGCTTCCTAACTTATTACTTCGTATATTATAGTATATGTTCTTTATTAAGTTCAACATCCTTGAACTGGGATGCGATTCGAACCAATGACATCCTCCTTGGGAGTGTCAGAGTGATGCGATCAGACCAAAAGATACTTGACAACGGCAAGTTAATAATGTTCACTAACATATCAGTTTTGTTAAACATTTAACAAATAAGAATTATTACTATTTACATTTCTCGTATGAATTATTTTTGTAAAATATGTAAAGGTATGGATATTGTTGCTTATTTTGCCAAATATTTATACTACCTACTACCTCCGTCCCGCTAAGATTGTCCCATTTTACCATTTCGGTTCGTCGCACTAAGATTGTCTCATACCTTATTTGATAAAGTTTGTGTGGTTCTAAATCATTCTTACTTTATCAATTCAATATCAATCACATAAACCACTTTTTATAGATTTGTGTGTCACTCCCTCTTGTCCCATTGTTAGTGGGACGGAGGGAGTATTATTTAGATGAGTAATGTTTTCCAACCTTTTTTAATTTATTTATGGATAACGGTAATTTCACTATTTAGTCGAACAATAATTTAATATTTGAAAAAAAATGTTACTATGAATGTTTTTTCTTGGATTGTAATTTGCTAGTTTGTTTTGGTTTGGTCTGTTCTAGTCTGGTCTGGTCTGAACTGATCTAGTAAAAGTCTGGTCTCTGTGTATTTTATAACTACGGAAGTCAAGTCTGATCTAGTTTGGTCTGTTTAATTCTGGTCTAGTCTGGTCTGTTTAAGTCTGGTCTAGTCTAGTACTACCTCCGTCCCACTAAGATTGGGACGAGAGAAGGTGGCACGATTATTAAGAAAAGTGAGTTTGTGTGGTTGATATTAAATTGATAAAGTAAGAATAAAGTAAGAATGCTTTAGAGTCACACAATCTTTACCAAATTTGGTATGAGTAGGGGTGGACTCGGGCCGGGCGGCCCGACCCGGCCCGGTTACTGTTTGGCCCGGCCCGGCCCGGCCCGGGGCCCGGTGGGTCCATCGGTTCGGTTTGGCCCGGACCGGGTGATGGGCGGTCCGGGCTCGGGCCCTGCTTTAGGTGAACCGGCCCGGCCGGTTCGGGCCCGGTCCGGGCCGGATTTTAATTTTTTTTTTTTTGAAATTTTTTTAAGTTTTGGATTAGATTAGGTATTTTGGGCCATTTGAGATGGTTTGGGGTGGTTTGGGGTTGAGGGGAAGGGGTAGGGGGTTAAATAGGAGAACCAAAATAAAAAAAAAAAATGGACCGGTTTGGCCCAGCCCGGCCCGGCCCGGTTTGGCCCGGAACCGGAACCGGCCACCGGCGGTTCAAGCTCGGGCCCCAGTTTTCTGGCCCGAGGCCCGGCCGAGCCCAGGCCCGAACCGGGCCCGAACCGGCCCGAGTCCAGCCCTAGGTATGAGACAATCTTAGTGGGACTTCCCGAAAAGGTAAAATGGGACAATCTTAGCGGGACGTAGGGAGTACTAAAAACAGTACAAGTAAAAACATACTATGTACTAAACATAAAAGTAACTGTATTTACATCTATTTTGTATAATTTACATCAATTAGCAAATTATATTTAAATTTTTATCTAAAGTGGGATCCCGCAATTGACTTTTCTCAAACAAGTCAGTAGTTTAAGGATGTTTTTACTTGGATTGTAATTTGCTGGTCTGGTCTGGACTAGTCTGTTTAAGTCTAGTCTGATCTGTTCTATTTAAGTCCGATTTTGTCTGGTCTGGTAAACGTCCAGTTTCTATGTATTTTATAACTACGGAAGTCAAGTCTAGTCTGGTATGATCTGTTTACGTCTGGTCAAGTCGGTTTAAGTCTAATTTTGATCTGGTCTAAATCCGGTCTGTTCTGGGACTGAAAACAGTCCAAGTAAAAACATCCTAAGCCTTCAAGAAATTTCGACCTAAAGGGTTTATGCTTTCATGTTGGATTGAAATGCTATATAAAAATAATTACTTCGTAATTCCGTATGTAGGGACTAATTGATTATTTACAGCGTATAATGTATATATAAGAAAATATTAAAATCATAGAATATCACGGGTGCTATAGGAATTAGGAAGCATTATTTTATTTTATTTTTGAAAATAGGAAGCATTAGTTAATAACTCCCCCCTATATCTTTCTGAAGTATTGTACTTGTCCCTGTAGCCTAGAAATAGTTTGCTCTTTGAAATAACTAAGGAAGAGGATAAAATTCCCCTTTAAATCAAATAAGCCAATAAAGCATGCTTGCTTCCCAGGCGGAACTCAGGAAGTCTTTGTTCCAACACTCAAGTTAAACGTTCTCACCATAAATGTAAGGTAATCCTGGATTCAATCTCATCACTTTTGCATTATAACTCAACCGATTTTAGGACGAAGGAAGTACTTCGGATCCCTGAAAAACAATGATATTCTCTCAGCTTTATCAACTGAAAGGTCTGTGTTTTCCAGAATACACTCCTTTGATGCTTTGGCTATTGCTTCAATTGACCCGATTGCTTGCTTAAGCTGAAAAGGAAATGGAAACTAGTCAGTCCCCCCCTCTTATAAAGCAATTGTTTTATCATTGCTAGAGAGTGTGCTCTACATTCGTTAAATAATGTTTAGATTAGGAATGGAGACGGCATTAATATAATGCAAGCCTTCTAGTTTGAGTTGGCGCATCCTAAATGCGTTCTTATTTAGTAATGATTAACCAAATCACCGATAAATTATAGAGCAAGATTACTGATCTCCCTTTGAAGTCAGAACATTCAAATGTTGAAAAACATTCTTCCAGAACTTACTGTCATGGACTCGTTCTCTTACGGAAAGGTCGTGGCAATGTGGTCCATTCAAACTACATTTGACATAATACAATGAATATATCTATTAAAAGTTTACTTAGATCACAAATGAATGAAACACCAATTACCCATGCCAGAGCTTGTAGGGTATGTTTGGATCTCATTATCTCAGGAAATACTGGAGAAGGATAACCAATGCTAAGGAAAGTCTGCTTTTGTTTTTGTTTTACCTCATAATGCAAAGGAAAAGAAATATTGTTAATGTTCTTTTGCATATGCATACCTTTATTACTTTACAAAAGTACATCAATCAATCAATAAATAAAAACATAAGAAGAGCATGAGTATTTTTTTTAGGGATTATTACCGAAGTATTACTAAAACATAGAGAGCTTCCCATAATATGACTTAATAATGAGATTTCCCATAATATGACCAAAGCAGTTACCATTTTATTAGGATCCCTCTTTAATATGCCTATTAGAAGGATATAACCGTGCATGCATATCATTTCCTACTATTTAGGAAGAGAAAAACACTTCCTATAAATCTCAAGCACGTATTAATATTGGGAAAAAAACTCAAGGAGTCATATGTTGGGAAATGATTGATGTTTTAGTCACATGAGAGATAAATTTCTCTTTTTTTTAAAAGAGCATGAACCAATGTTTTTCAAGTGATATTCTTCTTAGTCTAACCTTTAGTTATAACTTTGATATTATTTCCTTTCAATTTGCCTTCTATATTTACCTCCCCATATTCGTTCCCCAAAAATGTCCCAGTTTCAAGCGAAAAAGTGTTCAAGGGAAAAAATGCAGTGCAGGTTTTCACGGAAAGAGGAAGCACTAAACTGTCATAACAAAAACAGTTATTACTGAGCTATAGAATATGGAGGGCAATCAGACTCTATTAGACAAAAGATGATGAATCAGATTCTTACTGCGTTTGCATCATGCTTGTCAATGCCAGGAATTGAAGTGACCACTCTGAGATAAGCATCCATTGATTGAACCGACTTTTCCTTCTAACGGTGTAACATAGCATTTACATTACTCAAAAAAATGTAATTACTATCAACAATCAAAGAAAAGTTCAAGCTATAACCTCTGCTTTCATCATTTCTACAGCATGTTGCTTTTTGCACACTGCAAGTAGTAGCAGTTGGTTAAGATAAGCTTAAAAGTTACAATTGACCAAAGGTCAACACTTGGGTCTTCTTACCCCCACGAGCATGTGCAATCTTCACAATTTTTTCCCACCCCATCTCTAAATCTCGTACTGGAATAAAAGTTGGCTTTCCAAGTTCCATATTGTACCTTAAAAAGTGTTTACAGATTAAAGATCACTAAGTCATTCATTATTACAATATGCACAATGCCAGTGACAATAAAACAGAATGGACTTACTTGAAGTAAGAACAATTGAAACAATCATTTTGTTCTTTAGTTGGAAGGGTCACAACCACATAAAAGTTTGCAAATTGCTCTTTTAGCTTCTTTACTCTACTCAAAGTTAAACAAGATTAGCGAAAAATGCAAAACACTCACTGGAAAGATAAAAATAAAATTTACCTGCAAAAGAACGATTCTGTTTTCATACTGTCCCAATTTGTTAGAAAAATGAATGCAATAGACAAACCCCCACAGTTAATGATAATATCCTGTTAACAGCCATAATTTAGTACCAGTTGAAAGGAAAAAGTTAGAACAAGCATGGTGTGAAATGTGATATTTACCGGTGTTATTGGGACAAAATTCAGACGAAAAGAATTTTCGTGTAAGAAGCTGGAAACAAAATTAAGAAATGATGGGTGTTGCTCATCTCTCCAGCTGTTACTCATCATACATACCCCATTGCAACCTAAACAAGTAACTATTGCATGGTAAACTATCAAATGATGATTTGACGAAATACTTCTAAAATAATAATACCAATCTATTACTCGAGACTCTGAAGACATTAAGGAGCTACATATGATCAGTTGAATAGCATTAAAAGTTTCAGAAATAAGTAGGCAAAATTGAAAAGTTTGGTGCAGCAGGTCTACTTCAGAACAGAAATAAGGACAACATCTTATCCTTTTAGTAAGAAACAATCAGCTACTTAGAGATGAATTCTGGTATGATGTGTACAAAGTGCTAGCACAAACATAAATCATAGAAGTAACAAAGCTAATCATATTACTATATTAGAATGAGAAATTACCAATCCCTTGTCCTACTGCATGAGGGAGTGTAGGGAGATACATATGAATAATAATATCCATATGAATGTAGTGTCTTAGGACGTTCACGAAAATAAAATAATTAATCAATTAAGTTTCTTAGAAAAGAAAAGCAACTGAAAGTGAAAACGCACAACCTTGGAATCTGCTTATTTCATGTCACATTACAACACAGTACTCCAGAAAACACTGAACACGGGTGCTGTTGATACTGAGAAGTAAGAAATGCAAATGCTTCACCTGTACTTGAGTTATGCCTTAAAATGTACAAATGATATTTTGAAATTCAACTACCATTTTCTTGATTCCATGTTTACTAGTCAAACTGTGAACGTATTTGAAGTTGTAGATTCATCTACACATCATTTTCCATTGTCACATTTGAGAATTCAGAATGAAGAAGGCTTATTAATTTTACACAGAATCACAAAATCTATGTAAAATTTACACAATGCCATTTCTGATCACTGTACTAATTGTAGCGGAGTTCAAAGATTAAAGCCACCAAAATATCGATGTGCAGATTGAGCAACTGTGCTGGTTTCCACATATAAAAGCAGCAACACATCCAAATAAGTACATCTCATTTAGCGTTTAAAACGACTAGTTTCCGCATTACTAAGCGAACACAACCTCCACCGCATTTAAGAGCAGAACGCCTCTGAAATTTTGAATCGAGGAAGAAATGCAGACAAAAATGAAGAGTGCGACTGGGGAGTAGAGTTATAGAAATAGTGTACCACTAGCATTAGAGAGGCTAGAATGACTTGGAGATGGATGCTGGTAACCACTACTCATCATGCTATGCAAGTCCAATCTGCTGAAAACGGGTTAGCAGAGATTTCTATTTGGGGAGGCGACAGCGGCGGACGTACATTCTCAGATTCAAATGTCTAAAATAAAACTCAGCAAATCTCCCGCCTATTTCTGCCTTCCGGAGTTCTGGTCATCGGCTCCTACTCTCCCAGCTCCTCTCCAGTTTTTTGGCTCTTTCATTTTCCTTTCTTCCGGTATTCTCTTGACTTTTGTAAATTAAGAAAGCAGATAAGAAATTTCAAAAGAAGAAAGTATAAGAAGTAAGAAAAATTGAAAATAATAATCTTAATTGTGAGTCTGCCGCTAATAATTCTAACTACCAATTATTTTGAGGTGATCCCAATTTTAGTTACTACTTTTCAAAAATAGTCTCTAACTGGTTACAACCTGGTATAGCAGATCATTTCTAAATGTGAATTGTATGTAATCTTTAAATAATACTCTGTATCAATTATAGTTGACATTTTCTTTTATTAATCTCAACTATCAACTCTCAATTTTTGAAAGATGTAAAATATTTTTATAAATTTCTAACTAAATATTTTTAAACATGTATAAACAACTACAAAAATTATACAAATGTATAATTTTTTTAGTCATTTTTCGATTTATTTTCACTAAAAGTTATTTATTTACTCTGTTTTCCAATTTATTTTTCCCAATTATATTATTTTATTTTGTAAAAAGTTGCTATAACAAAAAAAATTGATGTATATTTTGAGACGAATGAAAAGGTAAAAAAGAAAAAAAATTGACTGTTAAAAGTGTGATTTTTACCAAGCGATGACAAAAATTGAAACGAGTGTGAAAAAGTACACACTTCAATGAGTCGTTATATGGTGGGAGCAGCCACTGGCGGATCTTACAATCACAAGTTGGGTGCTAAAAAAAGTTTATGGTTAAAATATTGCACAATAATTGTTCGATCCCGCAATTGAAGAAATGTAATTTTTTCAACAACAAAAAACTAGCATAAAGTGTTAGGCGTAAAAAAATACTCCATATTATATAAAAAATATAATATCTTTCTCCGTTCTATAATTCTTGCAACATTGTGATTTTTGCACTATTCACAGATCTTACTTTGACCATGATTTTTTTTACTAATATACATAATCAAATTATTACGTATAAATTGTTATTGAACTCTTATCAATGTGAAATTCCAAAATATCAACTTTTTATAATGTTTACTAATACATAATTAAATATAATTACAGTCAAAATTGTGTATTGTCAAACGTGAAAGTCAAACTGTTGCAAGAATTATAGAACGGATGATAGTATAAATTATTATATCAATTCTATACATGTAATTTTCATTTTGTTTTAAAACTTTTGGGTGTTCGCTTGAACACCCATGAACAAAGCATGTTCGCCCCTTTGTCATATATTTTTTGGAGCCATACATCGCTTTCTTAACCGCACATACCCGGGTATATGTTAGGGGACGAAATAATTCAAGAAATTAATTTGGAGTCCAGCCCAAAAGCAAATATATAATCAAGTGGCCTGATCCAACACTATGCCTAAATGGATAAGGATATGGAGGTTTGACTTGGCTAGTGTAAGGGAGTGGTAGAACTAGCTAACAAATTCCCTAATTCCATGGCATATCTGCGTAGGAGAGGGAAGTGCCTGGAAGTTAGGCACGTTACCTTCATTTTAGCAATTATAAGTATAAATAGAGAGCATTATTTCATAGGGGAGGTAGTCCACTATCAGTTATATAATATTGATATACGAAGCTTTTTACGATCATTCTTGATTAAATCTATCAGTTAAATCATTCTTGTATTCAGCAACAAAGTTCATAAGGATAATTTTAGCCTGCTATTTCTTTGATTATTATCTTGCTCAATCCCATCTTTTAATTTTTCATTGTTAGAAGAAATAATTATTTCTTGCTAAAACAATTTGGCGCCCATCGTGGGGCATCGTGCAAGAAAAAGATCAATTATGGAAGGAACGAAACAATTGTTGATTGAATTCCATGAGCAATTAGAGACGGTCAGGGAAGAAATCTGGCAAGAGATGGCGGAGAAGATGGCCCATCTTCAACGGGAGAACGACGTGCTTCGATCCCAGGTGCAGTCGGCGGTATCAATAGCTTCAAATTCAAGACTCCACCGGAGGAGTGACACTATGACTGTCGCAACAACGCTAAATCTCAGTTTCTGCCCAGCTGCGACGGATCCACCTGAAGCGTCGACGGATCCACCAGCAATGTCGACGGATCCACCAGCAATGTCGACGGATCCAATCTCCCTCACGCTAGGCCAGTCGCCAACACCGAACGGAGAGCCATACTCGACGGTCATATCGCAGGTTATTCCTTACACGCCTCTTGTCCCAGCGGCTACTCCACCATCCAATATTCCGGCTTGCTTTTTCCCAGAATCCCTTCGGGTCAGATCAAACGGGTCCGGCCTATATTCGGTGACCCAGAGCATGCCTATGAAGACTCTGTCCTCTACCCCGACAGAACCTTCAATTCCTCATTACAGGAGCAGAACCTATGGGGATCCCGGTCTGTCCAATTTCATGTCTTTGACGGGTAACTCAGTCTCGGCAGAACCGTCAACTCCTCACTATAGAAGTTGAACATGCAGGGATCCTGGTCCGTCAAGCTTCATGCAAGATGCCAGACGTAACGGGCCTAGTGTGTCATTTCTGGAGCCTCAGATGCAACGCTTTGGCAGACCCGTCACTACATCAGCGCCCGCGTTACCTGAACGACGCCCTGAGGTAATATTCATTCTGTCACCGACCCGACCTAAAGTCACCCAAATGGTCAGACCAACGACTTCGACTCCAGTACCAACTCACCCGGTCGTGGCAGATCAAATGCATGTCCATGATGATGGAACAAATGCGTCAGATGCAAGATCAACGGATTGCCAGGGGTACCCCCCACCCTTGGACGTCAAGGACATGTTACGCAGAGTCTCCATTTAGCAGACGGATTACCGAAGTCGGGATACCCAGAAAGTTCGTCGCCCCTTCCATGACAATGTTTGACGGTACGTCTGATCCGGGGGAACATGTTGCCCAATACAAGCAACATATGATGGCCATGTCACTTCATCCAGATCAAAGGGAAGCATGCATGTGCAGAGGATTTGGAGCGACACTTTCAGGACCAGCTCTAACCTGGTTCGTCGACTTGCCAAATGAGGCGATCAATTCATTTGCAGAACTCGTCGACTTGTTTAAACAACAATTCGCAAGTAGTCGCGTTCTGGAGAAACGAACAAGTGATCTATACAGAGTTGTTCAACGACGAGGCGAATCATTGAGGGACCATCTTCATCGTTTCAACAAGGAGAAGGTGTCGATCACAAGGTGCGACATTCCAACTACAATTGAGGCATTCCGAGGAGGTTTGGTCGACGATTCAAAGCTGTACCGTGAACTGATGAAATACCCTCTTCGATCCTTCGAAGATGTCCAAGCAAAGGCGTTTGCTTTCATCCGCCTAGAAGAAGACTTACGATCCCGTCTTGGACATGTTGAGCATGAATGGGGGCACGGGAAATCAGAATCTCCTAGGAGGCAGGATTACAAGTCTGGGATACCTTATTCAAGACCCGAGGAACGAGTCGTCATGCCATGACGAGATGAACAAGACAAAGTGATTGATATCTCGGACGGGGGGGCACATCGTCCGATGATAGACAGATTCTAAAGAGCTGCAATACGGTACCCTTAAAGTTGTTTCATTTTTAGTTTGTTACTTTCTTTCGCACATTGCCATCAATTCCGTGACGAGTCACTTCTGTGACGGATCGCTTTCGTAACGAATCACTTTGATGACGAATCACTTTCTTGACGAGTCACTTCCGTGACGAATCACTTTTGTGACGAGTCACTTCGGCGACGAGTCACTTCGGCGACGAGTCACTTCCGTGACGAATCACCTGCATGACGAGTTATTTCCGCGACGAGTCACTTTCGTGATAAGTCACTTCGGTGATGAAATGATTGAAATCGTTAGACGGGGGGCATATCGTCCTACGGTAGACATGTTATGGCGATAACTTATCTAGATTGGTATACATATTCTTAATCTCTTATTTTCATTTATCTATAAATGATCACTAACTTAATCGTCGGAGGGCCGTTGGCTTAAGACCAACGACCGAACCTAATGACGTTTTGAATGCAGAAGACTGAACAAGGCGTCAGGTAAAGCGGAGCACCACCAGTAAGTTACTTTGATACTTCACATTTCTTTGTAAGTTTAGAAACCAACGACGTATCGAGTGCAACGAATCTGTCAAGGCGTCGTAATGAAAGTTGACAATGTCAACCTGTATGTCTCTTTGAAGCTTTGTCTTGTTTACTGACTTGATCCTGGGCAGAACATTGACTTTAATCTCAAACAACTTGTCTCATTATTTATATTGAATTTAATAAGCTCTTGATTCATTTAAAAAGTGTTCTATAGCTATCTTGTTTAAGAAAGTTGTGGCGTGCTGAGTGTAAAGTTTATATCTCTTCCTAAAGATTGGTTTATCACTTTACTGACTTAACCATCGGAGGGCCGTTGGCCCAAAGCCAACGGCCAACTTTGACGGTTTGTAATGAGTGCAGGACTATCTTAAGACAAGCAATTGTGGGGCAATTCGCGAAGGCTGGAAAGCGTCAATCACACTAGTACTAGTTGAGCATTGTACACAGACATCAAAATGGGAAACGGCTGGGCAGCCCATGAGAATATCTCATGGATCATAGTCCCAGCTGACCCTTGCGACATATATACTTTGGCCAAAACCTACACACGTATATGACGACGCACGTGCAACCAAAACATATATGATAACACACGTGCAACCAAAACATATATGACAACATGCGTACAACAAAAAATACAGAACTACACAACAGAAACACATGCTCCAACATAAGGAGATAGTGCAAACGACAAACGTAACGCTATTTAAAGTTTTTGCAGGATATGGACCAAGTTTGCACAACCCATCTCGTCATCTTCAACGACATATGATGTTCCCTCTGTCAACTGAAGTGTCGACATCAACCTAGACGAAGTTTCATCTCGTCAGCACTGACTAGTTATGATTCATTAGCACAATTTGGAGAAAGAGGATATGAGATCAGCCTTCGTTCTTCATCGCTTCAGTCAAAGAGACGGATTCGATAAAAAATTACTTGCAAGGAAAGTGACAAGTTGACAGAAACGTCTTATCTGA